TATTATAGATGGATTGTGGTATGCATGCCGTGTTTCTAGGCAACGAGAAACTGTGTTTATCCAGTTCTCAGTGTCGAAAAAACAATAACTTTCATTTTATTATCAAGTTACAATGAAAATTATCATATCCCAAAGTAGTCTGATAAAGTATATATAAAAATAAAGAAAAATAATAAACTAAAACTGTTGTTCTCAACAAAATTCAAAATTATAATATTTAGCAAAACAAAACAAATTCATTAACGCGCCAGTAACACACCCGCAAAACAAGAAAATTGAAAATTACAACATTTGTCAAGAAAGTACAAAAGGTATAATTTTTAAAGGAAAGTGTCTGAGGCAACAGCTTCCAAAGGTGTTGTAGATATCTCGTCTGTCGGATATAATATAAAACAAAGATTTGAGTAAATGAGTCCATGAACAGAAAATGTTGGTATTTGTTAAACGGATACAGAGTTCTTGTCTTCGAACTCAAACTTACGACACATTCGTTATTGTATAGCCTCTCTGCAATATATATATATATATATATATTCAAGAAGTAATTTTACAAGCAGTATAGTAAAATATATAAACAATTTTACATGTTTGAATGTTTGAAAAGTAAGTGTAATAAGTAAATTACAGCATTCAAACCATTAATAACTGAAATTATTCAGTTTACCAGAAAATCTCTAGAAGTGTGAACTACACAGAACGTTTTGCCAAAGCTAGTCCAAAAAAAATAAAATGTTTCTGAGTCATTCAATTACATCAGTATATATACACAATGAAGTTATTACTTTCAATTTACTAAAATTATTATTATGGGGATTGTATTAGCAACTTATCAAACTGATTATTATTGGAACTGTACTAGCAACTTCGTAAAACTGGTTAATACGGGAACTGTACTAGCAACTTATCAAAGTGATTATTATTGGAACTGTACTAGCAACTTAGTAAAACTGGTTAATACGGGAACTGTACTAGCAATTTAGTAAAACCGGTTTTTATGGGAACTGTACTAGCAACTTAGTAAAACTGGTTAATACGGGAACTCTACTAGCAACTTAGTAAAACTGGTTAATACGGGAACTGTACTAGCAACTTAGTAAAACTGGTTTTTATGGGAACTGTACTAGCAACTTAGTAAAACTGGTTTTTATGGGAACTGTACTAGCAACTTAGTAAACTGATTAATATGGGAACTGTACTAGCAACTTAGTAAAACTGGTTATTATTGGAATTGTACTAGCAACTTAGTAAAACTGCTTTGCAACATGATAGCAACTGAATATATTTTTACTGTAACCAGACTTTTCTCTTGGTATTACATCAGTATAGTTGATTCACAATGTCTAATACTTACGTTTGTGCAGTTTTACTTTATCAAAAACGTAGCACGGTAAGAACAAATCTAGTTTGTTTTCTACTTAAGTTCACAATACAAAATCCACCGTTAAACTCCAAACATTCTACATAATCCTAAAATTCGGTATTTTTTAAACGCAGAATTTCCTAAGTGATATATCTAATCTTCTCTTACTTCTTGTTTATTGTTCCATAATCAAAGCTTCAGCTTTCTATTAAAATTTACCAAAGTGATACTTTTAACCACTTCTGAGTTTCCTCGAAATGGCAAACACTGTAATATCTGGTTTAATTCTTAACGAATAAATTTACTGATTAACTCTTTGAAGTAAAACAGTAATTTACAATTTGCTTATGATGACCATATTATCATATATATGTATATATATTATATCACCATATGTAGTGTACGAAGATGATAACTATTAAAACTGTAACGTGAAATTAAAGCTAACAGTTTAAAAAACATTTCACAGATGGCGCCATCACATTCAAGTGAATTCTTTATATAATTTTTCGTAAATAACTGTTTGGTACTATTTAATTGAATTTTATGAAGATGAAACAAAAGCGCAACATAAAAAATAGCTAATTTATGTGAACTAAATCGAATCTTTTCAAATAAATCTCTGCACAATTCTAAAGTATACGTAATTTTCTTTTACGTCTTTATTGACAAATAATAATTCGCCAATTCCTTGCTAACAAGCGTAGCTGATGAAGCTCTGTTATATGTGATTCTGCCTTGAATAATATTAAACTACGAAAAGACAGGAAGAAACGAGAAGGGAGAGAATGTCGTCAGTATAACCCTAAATCGCAATAAAATATAAAGCCAGGTTATACAGCGAATGACTACTGCGTTCAACAAATGACGAGTACACTGCTTGTGACAATGATTAATTCCCCCCACTTATGTCAGACCCTAAAATCTGACTTGTAAGTGACTTGAATAAAATTGATAATAATTACAATTCACTTTCTTATTCTGATTCACACCATAACAGTAGCTGTTCGTGAAAGTCGATTATATAGATAGCGCCTAGGCCACTGCTATGTCTTGTCATATCCAGCCAGCTTGATGATCCCTAGTATTGGGCGAAAAGCCTCGTTGGCACTGCATACGGCAGATTTAATGTGGTTGACCTATTAGAACATATTATCTTTTGCTTTCACTCATGGGTTCTTAGAATTACTTTATTCAAGAGTCAACGCATGCCAGAAAAGGGCAGAAACCGTAATTTCCGGTCACCAACAGGGAATTTATTGTTATATCGCGCTCTTTGGGTTTTGAAAGAATTAAAATAAAACTGGTTTCATCAACTGAATAAAACTGTTCAACTACCGAGGTGTTTTAACTTTCTGACAGAAAACTCGTTGTCATATTACACGGCTGATTTTTTCACCAAGTAATTTTCTTGAGAAGTAGTAATCATTATTAAGTAAGTAATTGACAAACTTAACTATTGTTTAAAACTATTGTTTTTATGCATATTTTCTTGATTGAAAAAATAAACATTACACAATATGATAGGTGGTTAATAAACGTATTATACAACATGATAGGTGGTTGATAAATTATCTTGATTAAAACGGAACTGTACACGAGTACCCATACCATTATGGACCAGGACACCTGGGGGTTGCGATTTTTAATTCGATTTACAGAGGGTTAATCATACTTCATATGAAAGATTTGAATATGCTGATACAATGTCGCCTATGTCATCGCAGACACCAGCCGTGATGACATAGGCGACATGTTTAGTAAATAAACTAAATTCTTGACCGTTCGTCATGAATGCTTTGGCGCCACACATTAACTTCTGGCTGGATAAGTGTGTCATAACACTTTTAATGAAGGGATATTCGTACAGTGAGATTGTCAAATGAGGTAGTGCCAAAGCATGACTGAAGAACTACGTCATAGCCCTTTTAGAGAAGGAATATTCGTACAGTGAAATTGTTTGTTTGTTTGTTTTGAATTTCGCGCAAAGCTACACGAGGGCTACCTGCGCTAGCCGTCCCTAATTTCGCAGTGTATGACTAGAGGGAAGGCAACTAGTCATCACCCCCCAACCGTCAACTCTTGGGCTACTCTTATACCAACGAACAGTGGGATTGACCGTCACATTATAATGCCCCCACGGCTGAAAGGGCGAGCATGTTTGGTGGGATGAGGATTCGAACCCGCGACCCTCAGATTGCGAGTTGAGTGCCCTAACCACCTGGCCATGAAAGAAGGGAGCCTTCAATAATATCCATAGATTTACTCGTACATCAATCAGAGTGTTTCGACAGCAGTGGATTCCAAAAGAAAACCTCCAATGTTTCTAGAGCAACGCCTCATTGGTAGAGTGAAGGCTGTGGTTACGAAAGAGAACTTCCCGACCCCCGTTCCCATGAAAAATAAATAAAAAAATCATTGCAATGAAGTTGGGTTCCATTAACAAAATAATAAACATGATTTTGAAACTGACAAATACTCAAACCAAAAATCTGCAAGCTCTTAGTCACAACTGGAAGCCAATGATTGTTTTAGTGAAAATAAAAATTGTCAAATAAACCGGAAACAGCAATTTCATTGGGCAACATCTAGTCTCTCGGTGCAGCTTCAAAGGATGGGTTATGGAAAGTTGTGTGGTCTAAGATTAATCTCGCTGTCCTTTGCAGAAGTGGATTATCATGAAAAATGAGGTTTCACGCAACAGGGGGGCAATCATGGCTATCAGAGTGGGCAAAAATAACGATGGAGGGAATAGTTCCAAAACTAAGAACGTTATTCGTATAACGTGCGATTAGTCTCAGTACATCCATCGTTAGGTTAGGGCTATAGTAATAAAAATGATCATCTGTTAACTACAACAGACGTCATAGATCTTGGATGAAATTATAGAATTTGATAAACATTCTTATAACTTGATGTCTACACCAAGATACACAATGGGTAATTTGCGTCTGCGATGTTTCCGCCGTGGGGATCTGACTCCGAATTTCAGCGACGCAATCTCTCCGAAGCTTACAGGGGATCTTTATTTAAAAGCTTCTTTATTACTTTGATTTCTCCCATAGAGTTCTGAAAGAATATCTTAACGGAAAATATTCTAAACACTTGTTTTTAAATATTACATTCTTGTAACGTTTATTTGCCTATTATCATTATTATTATTACAGCCACAAAATAAGTTTTATACGTTATCGTTATTTAAAGAATTATAAAGTTAGCTCTATGAAATAGAAGCCTATAAATGATATTCAATACGATGAATAAAGCCACAGGATAAACCTACCTTATGTGGATGACGTAATGAATTATGGGACTGTAGTGGTTGTCTATACTCGGCGCCCACGACAGATTCACAGACCTAGAAGTAAAGCCCATTATCAGGGGCATACCCGTTCGATCCGGTATGTCTGTAACAGAAAAAAAGTATGAAAAAAAGCTTCTTTCTCCTTATCACATGGATAAACAAGAATACAATGTAGCTCAATAAAAATCAATTTAGTATTCTATAAAATATTTTTTGCTTTTATATTCAATCTTCTAATCCGGTTTCACCCAATGGGATGAGCAACTTTAATACAAACTGACCATACCGATTATGTTCCACCTGTCTTAGAGGTAATATAATATAAATAGCTGAATGGAAGTTTATTAAGATTCAAAAGTGCATTCCTTCGAACTTTAAACACAACAAAACCATACCTCATGACCCATCAAAGTCATTAATGTTCACGCACGATCTAACCCTAAGGAGCGATAACAAAGCTTTTGTAAAAAAACAACAACAACAACCCTTTAATTCAGTTTTCCAAAGATATGTAAAAGAAACACGTAACTTGATAATTCTCGTTTTCCCATTATCGCATAACTCTTAACTGAATAAATTTATGATGAAACTGCTTTGTTCAGGTCACAAGTCAATGTTTTTGATTATTGCTGTTCAAAGGTTTCTTTTTTCTAGGTGAATGACTGTTTTGTTATTCATCACATATAAACGTTTTTCATACTTGTATCACTCCAAAATTGAAATAAGAAAAAGTTCCTTGTCCTTTTGTTTTCAGCACTGATCATAATTACAAGACGCTTAGAAAGCCTACAAGAAACTAGAAGATGGTGGGAGTTAATCAGTGCTATCCGTCCCTAATTTAGCAGTGTAAGACTAGAGGGAAGGCAGCTAGTCATCACCACCCACCGCCAACTCTTGGGCTACTCTTTTACCAACGAATAGTGGGATTGACCGTCATATTATAACGCCCCCGCGGCTGAAAGGGCGAGCATGTTTGGTGTAACGGGGATTCGAACCCGCGACCCTCATATTGCGAGTCGAGCGCCCTAATCACCTGGCCATGCCGAGCATTATTAGCTCCATTTCTAAAGTATCAATACACATCAGTCAACAGTACGTGTAACAAAAACAAATATATATAATTCACATTACAAACCTATTAAATGGGTATTTTGTAAGATAGTAAAACCACTAATGGGAGAATTTTAACCAGTATTCAAATATTTATACTCAAGAAGTAATAAAAAACAGGAAGCTGTTTTGTAAAGTTATTCAAACTCTAACTCGAAACTTTTGAAGGAACATTGTTATTTTCAACCTAAACAGAAAATTATGGGCCACATGAGCTAAAGCGCCAGGTTAGAGACATCAAGTTTCAAATATCGCCATCCCTATTTTAGATCTGCTGACCAGAGCGAAAGCAACCAGTACATGCCATTTATGTGACCACTGTTAACCTAAGAGCGAGATTTACTGTCATAAGTATACCCCATCAACACACACCTGAAAGTGTGGAGATGTAACAACTACAATAGAATTTACGAGAGAAAAACAATTAAGGTAAAAAAGTTTTGATATAGAAATTTTCAAAATTAATTTTCTGCTGTTTTCACACCACGTTAGTCATGAGTGTCGTTTAATTCTTTTCACGATGTCATTCACCTAGAGTAGCACCTTTTTTTTCTTTTCGGTCTGGAATATAATCTTGAGACATACTGTTTGGAACTTGAGAACGTATTTTAACTGTGTTTGCTGTAAATAAATATTTTTATTGTAGATTTGTGTTCAGTTTATATTTACCATAACTTCAGTATTCAGAGAGCATATAATTATTTCGCAATAAACATCCTGTTGAATCTCCCTTTATTAAGCGGACCTGTCTTGTCTCTCTGAGTGGAACTATTTTTTTATGTGAAGTACAAAGCTGTGATAACGCAGGGTAAAATCCTTTGAAGCACGAGCCCTTACGTTTTAACCTAATCTTTTCAGATATACTCTATGTTGGACGTTAAATACTCTATTAAAAACGCAGCAACATAAAACAATCCAAAGCTATACTGGATCCATATTAGAAAAAACATCATGTGCTCTCTTATTTGTACATTTAATATATTTTAGCCACAGAAAATTCTACTTGTAATTCTCCGCACTTGATACCAGTAACAAATAGTTAGATAGACAGATATAGTTTACTATACAAAGTTCAGAATTAAGCTTCAGGTATACAAAACCATTTTAAAAGAAGTACAAACTTAATATCGAAATTAACTGACACCTAGGAATCGAGCACTTATTGACAGTCCTAACAAATATCGTTCACTACTTTATATATAAACTAATAATGTGAAGCAGTTATATGTTACTTGGGTATTTTAACCACCTGAGTATGGACTTCAAATGGCAAAATGTTTGAAGAGAGTTCACACACCACTCAGACTCCTGTATGAAAAGAGTTTACACGCTACTGGGACCCCTATATGGTGAGAGTTTACACATTATTGGGACCCCTGTATGGAGAGAGATTATACACTACTAGGACCTTTGTATGTAGGGAGTTTACACATTACTAGGACCACTATCTGGAGAGAGTTTACACATTACTAGGACCCCTGTATGGAGAGTTTACACACTGCTGGGACCCCTGTATGAAGGGAGCTTACACATTACTGGGACCTATATATGAAGAGAGTTTATACATTACTGGGACTCCTTTATGGAGGAAGCTTACACATTACTGGGACCCCGGTATGGAGGGAGTTTACAGATTACCAGGACCCCTGTATGGAGGGAGCTTACACATGACTGGAACCCCTGTATGGAGAGAATTTACACATTACTGGGACCCTTGTATGGAGAAAGCTTACAGATTACTGGGACCTTTGTATGTAGGGAGTTTACACATTACTGGGACCACTATCTGGAGAGAGTTTACACATTACCAGGACCCCTGTATGGAGAGAGTTTACACACTACTGGGACCCCTGTATGAAGGGAGTTTACACATTACTGGGTCTCCTGTACGAAAATAATTTACACATTACTGGGACAACTGTATGGTTTATCTTGATCAAGTCACAGTTATAACTGCTATGCAACAGGCTGTAACCGGTAATCGGTTGAAAAACTTCATACTTTTCGGAAGAGCAAATTTGAAACGTTTTTTTTTTCTTTAGTTCAACAGAACCATGAAGAACAATCAACTCCCAGAAATTCTTAATGTTATGGCCCTGTGGTTATTCCGAAGGATTCCACGGTTTAGTATTTTTGCTTTGATCTTCAGAAATTTACTTCAGCGACTTCCAAGTTCTCATTAGTTCAGGCATACCATGAAATGAAAGTACATCAACGAAATGATTGATAAATATTCTGAAATTACCAAAATCATTGAAGTCCAAATCTCGGACTTCCTAAGTCACTATACATTCCATTAAGGGCCCCAACGAGTCATTCAAGCAGAAAATTACCTTTAAAAGCTTTATTTTTCAAATGAAGCGAATAAAAAATATGCTGTTCCGATATCTCGTAAAAACTTATATGCTTGGTTAGTTTTGTGTGCTACCACAAAATAGTTCATACAGTTTGAATGTTTTTCATCAATTTCTTTTGTTTGTTTTGAATTTCGCGCAAAGCTACACGAGGGCTATCTGCGCTAACCGCTAACCGTCCCTAATTTAGCAGTGCAAGACTAGAGGGAAGGCAGCTAGTCATCACCCCCTACCGCCAACTCTCGGGCTACTCTGTTTCCAACGTATAGTGGGATTGACCGTCATTTATAACGCCCCCACGGCTGAAAGGGCGAGCATGTTTGGTGGGACGTGGATTCGAGTCGAGCGCCCTAACCACCTGGTCATGCCGGGCCGTTTTTCATCAAGTAGATAGCTTAATGATAATTTCGTGCATATAAAACACCTTACGTTACTTTAGACTGTTTTACTTTAGTTTGACCATACTATATGAATGCATGCATATCCAGTCTAACTCATTCAGCAATTATGTTATTTAGAAAATACGATATACTGACAACGGTTACTAAGACAATTTAAATAAACACACGCATAATATTTTGGTTAAAAATTTGTACAAAAAATTAAAACATGGGTAAAAGTTCTTAGAACTTCAAAATATTAAAACCCACATTAAAGCATGCCATAAGATCTTGTTTTTAATATCTTTATATTAACTAAAAGTTAGTGTTTCGCTTGTAGAAAAAATGATGGGCCAAAAGTGCCTTTTAGTGAGATTGTTCTTATAATGAAAACAAAAAGACTTATCGGTTCAAATCCTTGCAGACGTTTTACACATGTTCGGTATAAAACTGATTTATTAATACGTTTTTTTAAAACCTGTGATTTTATGCCAAACATAACGAGTTATTTTTAAATGTCTCAAGCTCAAAATATGAAGTTTTTTTGTACAGCTTTCTGAGATGCACGTTGCTTGATCTCTCACTTTTTATCCTCCTTATATGCAAGGCTGATAACTCGGGCCATCTGCAAGATCCCACCCAGCAACTAAATGTGCACAAGGTGGCGCAGCTTTCCAGTATCACGATCGTATAATATTCGGTCAGGTGCTACTACACCACAGTAAGGCCGACCTCAAATAAGATAATACAGGTCGTGATAAACTATCAGAACACATTATATCACACACACACACACACACAAGTAAACGACAAACCAATTAACGTTTTTTTCCTTTCACAGTTCTCGATCATAACTCAGGAATTATTCATATCTTTCACATTTATATTTACAAAAAAGTAAGTTTATCGAAAGTAAGCTATAGTGGAAAAAAGAAGAAGTTGGAAAGGAGAGAAGATTTTAAAAGTTTTAAGAATTTTAAGATCAGTGGTGTAGTGAAGGGTATACGTGGGTAAATCCACTTTTTCATTCAAAATGTGCGGGCAGCCTAGTCAGTCACAAGAATCGTCGTCAGTGTCGCTGCTTTCTTCTGCATGCACAGAAGGCATTGTCAGGGACGAGGGACTTTATTGAGATCCCAAGCTCAACACAACCCGAGTTAACAATCCTACCATGCAGTATCAAAAGTTCGCGAAAGATATTCAGCTTAATGAACATCTAATCAAAAACACCTTAGGTGTGGTAAAAGGTGCAGCCAAAA